ACCTCCTTTTTTTTTATATCCATTTCCTTTACTCTTTCTCACTCTCTCTCCGCATACACTCTCTCTCTCTACTACCCTCCTCAACTCTCTGTCTCTACCCAATGCAATATCTACTCATATAATGGCTAAACTTTAAGCCATTTTTTTACGTGGAATTTTGTGTAGAGTTCTCTATTTCTTGCCTGGATTTCATCTAGGGTTTCTCGTTCCAGTTGTTCTTTTGATATTTGGCGTGTAGGGTCTCTGTTGATTCAAAGACAGTAAAGGTAATTACTCTTTGGCAGCCGAAATTTGGGTTTGGTTTGGATTTGGCATTGGGTTTTAGGGTTTTGGAGTAACTTGGTTTGGATTTTTTTTCCTCTTGTTGTTTTACTGGTTTTTTCTTTAATAATTTTTTATGGTTATAGCTGGACAGGAGGAGAGGGATTGTAAGGCCTTTCAATTCTAGGGCTTGGCTTCGGACTAAGCAGATGCCGGTTAATGTCATAAATGATTCCAATGGTTTGCCGAAGGTGATTTTGACAGAGCCTGGAGGATCATCAGCAGAGGTGCGCATTTTAATTCCAGAAAAAACTGGTTTGTTTTATATTTTTTCTCATTTCTTGGGAATTTGAATCCGTGAGAAACTGAGAGTTTTTTACCAGGAATTGGCGGACTTTTTTTATTGAAGGGATAATTATATTCAAATTATTTATCAAATGAACGGGAAGTTATTTGGTGTATTTTTTATTCTTCATAAATTGCTCTTATGTAGATATTGATAAATGATTGAGATAATTGGGTAGAAATGGAACTAAGTGAAAAGGAGATAAAAGGAAGATGATCGAATTTTGCTATATTTGAGGATAATAGTATTAATTATTAAATGGGTTTCTGTGGTCTGGAATGGTAAACAGTGGAGATATTTGGATGTTTACGATTTCAAAATTTTGACGATTTGCAGCTTTTTGCCGAAAAATTTGCTGCGAGGTATTTTCAAGCATCTATATTTATAAGTTTCTTAAGGGATTGAATCGCACTCAACAGATGTTATGTTTCTTAGTTTAGAAGAAACAGATCCTTTTATCAAAGATAAAAGGAATATCATCTAGAAAGCTCTTTTTCTTTTAATAGGTGCTTTATTTCTCAAAACACATGGATGCAGATGATAAGAGCGTAAAATTCATGGGAAGGAAATTGTGTACGTATTTGAATCCAGATATCTAACTAAGAAAGAAAAAAGTAATATCAATAATATGATGATTCAAAACAGTAATGAAATCAAATGGAGAAGGGACAATTAGGAAGCAAGTTCGGAAATAGGATTCCACTCTTTAGCTAGGCCTGAAATTGATTCTGTGGCCTTCATTTATTGCACTCATAATTTGATTAAGACCTGTGAAATCATCAATTTTTAATGGGCAAATTTTGCTATGCATGACTTCCTTTCTTCCGTAATTTCACTTGGTCTTATTAGAAATCTGTACTATACATGTTTTTTTCATCCAATTCAAATGATCCTTATTATACTTGAAATTATTTATATGTAGTTTTGATTTTAGTAAATTTTTTGTTTAAATGGTCAGTCATGCACTGTCTTCCTGGGTGGATAAGAGGATTCTCGTGTATGATTATATTTTCTTGGTTTCTCATATTGTTGCTAGGAGGTCAATTACAACTGTTTTCATACTACTTGAACCTGTAGTTTCCAAAAATGTCTAGGGAATATATGTGGTCATGATGTGAAGAGTTGTCAAGGAAACGTTGGTTTAAGCAGCAGTCATACTAATATGTACTCATGCGAGGCTCTTCAATGATTATGAACTCTCTTTTTTTCAACCTGTTGAGTCTTTCTTTTGGAAGATGGCATATGTTTGTTGTCCCTACCATAATATTTACCCTTTATTCCTTCTAATTGGGATATAAATTTTCGTCTAATTCCCATGGCACTCTTGAAGGAATTCAATTGGTTTTGGTGTAGTCTTACTTGTGATTGGAATTTTTCCAGGTGCTCTTGTATGGTGGCCAAGTTGTATCTTGGAAGAATGATCGTCGAGAGGAATTGCTTTTCATGAGCACCAAGGTAGGCGACTGACATTCTTATGAAGGCTGCTCATATCAACACCGATGGTCGATCATTTAGTTTCATTTTGGCACACTATAAACTTGGCAATTGTATTGACTAGGAGTTGGTGGTCCATTGCCATTTTCTCTTTGAAATGAATTATAAACCTGTACAAAATTTTGCATAAATGCTCACGAAATGGTGTATGCTATGGTCTGTCTGTACTAATAGCAAATGTGATATACACGAAAACTTAATGTTAGAATCTGTTCTCCAATGTGTTGGAAAGGAAAGTTACAGAAATGTACCCCCCTTTACATCCTTTCAATGAAACCTCTTTTACAGGCAAACACTCTTGGGAAAAAGAAATTGACATGGTACTCAATTGAGTGACCCGTTCGTTTTTTTTTTTGCTCTTTCTTCCTTGATTGGTAGGGAAACCTTATGGTTGTTGACTTCAAAGATATATGAGGGTTACTGAATTGCTGTGGTCCAAAACCTACGTTGCATGCTTGGGAGAACTTGCTATATCATTGTTGCATGTTTATCAGCTGAGAAAAGTGAAAAGGAAAATGTGAAATCACTTGTTTTGGCTTGTGTCCTCTAAAAGCTTATCTATGCCATTGTTTCATTTCAGGGTAAAAAAGAAAATAAAGGCTAATCGTTGCTTTTTTATTCAGCCAGCTAGTTTGGGGCTTTGAATTGGTGTTATTTATAAACCTGGAACTTTTTAAAATTGGTTAGGATTACCGTACTTGTAGATCCATCAATTGTATTACTGTGATTTTAGTTACTGATCTTAAAAACACTATGGCTCCCAAGTCCTCTGGGAACGTTTCTATCTTTAGAGCACCTTCTAGGAAAACTTTTTTTGCCTGGTATCTGTCCTCGTCTCTTTCTCATGGAATTAATTGGTTCAATTTCTTATATACAGGCCATCTTGAGGCCTCCTAAAGCCATCAGAGGTGGAATACCAATATGTTTTCCTCAGGTTCACCTTATTTAACTGCCTTCGTAACCTTAAAACATTAGACCATATAATTTTGGTGAAATTAATTGTGATTCTCTTATTATGTAGTTTGGGAATTTTGGTTCCTTGGAACAACATGGATTTGCTAGGAATAGGTTATGGGCTATAGACACATCCCCATCACCATTGTCACCAACAAACAGCATGACAACACTGGATCTAATCTTGAAATCTACAGAAGAGGATTCGAAGACTTGGCCACACTGGTACGCCTGCAAAATATTTCAACTAGTAGTTTTATATGGACAATTCACTGGACATATACCAAATCTTTCTTCTTCCTCTACTCATCTTCTTCTTCTTCTTCTTTTGTGGGTTGGGAGAAAATCATAACCATCTGTGTTGATTTATTGCAGTTTTGAGTTAAGACTTCGTGTTTCACTAGGTCCAGGGAAGTTAACTCTCATTCCCCGAGTAAGGAACACCGACTCGAAGCCCTTCTCGTTCACTTTTGCACTGCATAACTATTTGTCGGTCTCTGATATCAGGTATTTCTAGTAGTAAAAATAACTAGTTACCTTCTTTTGCAGTCATTTTATATAGCTTGACATTTTTTCCTTTTTGTTCTTGGCTGTTTAAAGACAAGGTTTGATCAAAACATTCGTGGGGTGCATGGTTTTGAGCCCCGGGTGTCTCTTATGGCAGAACCAGAACTCGTACAAGCTGAGCTGTATTTCACAAGTTATTTGAGTTCTGGTCAGTCGGATGCCTATGTATATGTCAGTTGTTGCCAGAAATCTGAATGGGGAACATCCTTGCTGTTTGATTCTTTTTTCTTTTTCTTTTAAATAGTTACTTTTTGAGTTAGAGAGTTGAATCCCAGATGAAGATATTTATGTAGTATCATTTTGTGGGTTAAAGAGTTGAGCCTCTGTTTGAGGTATTTGTAAATGAAGGATGTCCAAACAAGAAGATAATACCATTTTGAGTGAACTAACATGATGCATTTGATTTGCATTTTTGCAGTGAGGTGCGTGTGGAGGGTTTGGAAACCCTCGACTACTTTGATAATCTCCAGCAAAAAGAGAGGTTTACAGAACAGGCTGATGCGATTACTTTTGATGGCGAGGTACTCCTTCCCCAACCCCCCCACCACCCCTACCCTGCCTTCTCTCTCTCTCTCCAAATTTGTCAATGAATTTACTCCTGGTGCAGGAAAATGTGGTAATGCAGTAAATCTCTCTCTCTCTCTCTCTGGTCGTTGAGTTGTGTTAACATCCATTTGATCTGGCTCCTAAAACAAAAATTGCATTGAAGATATTGTTTGACACCTATCTTGACATACCCCCCCCTACTTTTTAAGGGTATTTCTTTTTCTGTCCATTTAACAGGTAGACAGGGTCTATTTAAGCACTCCAACTAAGATTGCGATCATAGATCATGAAAAGAAAAGGACCTTTGAATTGAGAAAAGAAGGCTTGCCAGATGCAGGTTTACAACCAGTTTCCTCTAAATCTTTCTATGTTCCTGATGGAAATTTTCAGAAGAAATAACACTCTTTTTCACAAAAATAAATGCTTAGATAATATTTTCCATTTCTTTCTCTTTCAGCGCTGATGAATCTACAAATCCCCATTATGTGATTCTAATGAACTCTAGGAGTTAATAAAAATTCTCTCTATGATTACAGTTGTATGGAATTCATGGGACAAGAAGGCAAAGGCTCTGCCAGATTTTGGAGATGAAGATTATAAGTACATGTTATGTGCGGACTCAGCTGCCATTGAAAATCCAATTGTGCTGAAACCTTGTGAGGAATGGAGGGGCCGACAAGAACTCTCAACGGTTTCCTCCAGCTATTTCAGTGGCCAATTGGACCCTTTTAAAGTCCTCCATGGCTGATGGATCCTGGTGATAAAGCTTTCTGTAATTTATATTCCCTATTCTTAATGGGGTAAATATGCAGTCCCTCTCCACTTTATAGCTATGATTTGTGGTTCTTGATTGATTTTTGTTATCAAGGAACCTTATAAAATCCACGATCTCAATAATACAAATAACCTCTGCTCTGTACCTAAATTATTTGAGACAGAAGAATTTCCAATGCATATGTATATATATGCTACAGGGGTATATAATAGAGCTTGATGGTTTGTTTTTCTAGTGGATGTTGTTCAATTTTCTATTTGCTCTCTCTGGCTTGCAAGTGCATTACTAAGAACCACCCATATCTGATACAATTTTTGCAATGTGGAAGCTGTTGATTTTTTCAGCCCATTTATTGTTATAGCAGAATTACCTAGAAAGATGAAATTAGAAACTTCCCGAAGCTTTCTTTAGCATCCTGATCAAAGGGGTCCTCTCCCAGGTACATGTTGAAATAGGCTCTGCATAAGAGCTCGCTCTCAGTCTTGCCAACCACCTCACCCTTCACTGCACCAGAACTTGTACAGCGTCATTATACCTCAAAGTTATAGGAACCTTTTACTTCTTGTATGAAAGAAATGGTGAAACTTTGTTATTGTAAATTATAAGGCCATATTAGGCCAGCTCAATTTCGTTTGAAACTTAGAATCAAATTGGACTTTGCCCATTTGGCTAGGTGCCATCAAACCCAGAAAAGGAGCTAACCTTTTTTTTTTGTTTTTTCTTTTTCAAAGTTAACAAATTTCATTTTTGGGAAACATTTGTCAACTCTCAATTATTACTTTCTATTTTCATAAAAAATCCCCTAGGAAAACCAAAAAAGTTATGGAAAACTATTTGAGAATTTACTGCACTGGAAAATTTCGAAGAATGAGATTGGCATTAGACAGTTGGATTTAGGCTTGTAAATAACAATTTATAAGATCATTTGTACAAATATGAAACAGTTCTATTACCATTGTAAAAACATTCATCTGTAGCGTGTTCGGTTCAGAAAACCATGATGGATTTTTTGTTCCAGTTTGTCTCAATGGATATATTAAAGATATATTTGTGTAGTTAGTATTTTGGATTCCTTGGTTACGATACCTTTAGTTTGCAGGACAAAACCTGGAAGCCTGGAAATCTCAATTATTGAACCAGTCGGGAGTTTAAGGCCACCCTGGACTTCTCCCATTAACCTACATGGTACAGTCACCATCATCACTGCTCTTATAGGGAGAATATAGCCCAAAGACAATACAGAGAAACCAAAATGCTTCAGGTTGCTTTATGTTTTTTTTGTTTAGAGAACCTGTGTATGTGTGTCAGTGTGTGTGTGTGTGAGAGAGAGAGAGAGTGAGTGCAGTTAACCAAAATGAGATAAGGGGATACTTGTTTAGGAGCTCCTCGTGTTTTTGACCTGTGAGTTTTTTAATAGAGGCGCCGATGCCTTCGTCTAAACTCTTTCGAACCAAGCTCATGGTGAGGCCACCAAATACCATGACCAACCTCACCATCATCGGTGCGTCACTATCAATCACAAGCTCGAAAATTTCCTTGGTGACTTCATTCACCCCCTCTCCAAACTTTGACCTCACCTGCTCCCTCAGTTTATTGTTGTCCGCATAGATCCCTGCAGCATGGTTTCCAAAACTTGAGTTGGCATTCCCACTTCCTCTCTCTCTCTCTCTCTCAAACGCTTACGGACACACAAGAACCAGTCGCTCTCCCTATCTTGATCGCTATAAAACACACATGCAGGCACTCTTCACTGTTGCTCAAGAGATAACAGGGAGAAGTCAATACAGAAGTTCTGAGATTTGAGATCACTCGGTGTTTTTTATCCCCTGTAGCAGGGTTGAACAAGGAGATAAGAGCCATCATTTTGTTCTTCAAATTCTGGTACAAGGAGGATATGGTTGGTCGTTGGATGATCATTTCCTACGGTACAAGGGGGCTATAGTTGGTCATTGGATATAAAATCATGCAGCAATGTCCCGTTGAAGTCCAAAACAAAATTTTCGAACTTTGAGACACACCCAGGCTGTCCAATCATACATCCTACGGCTGTGGGTGATTGTAACCTCTTTATGCTAAAAAAACTGTTATGACATGATACAATCCTAGTTCTTTTACTTCTTTTTTGTTTTTCTTGTTTATTTGCTGCTAAACTTAGAGATGGGTAAAAAAAAACTAGAAACTAGCGGTTAAGAAAGAAAATGAGTGTAAAGTGTAAAATGAAACCTTGTTGGATTACTACATTTAAGGTACATGAAATCAACAAAGAAAAAAGAACAAAACGTTCTGACATAAACGTAAACACATCGTGAGCATAGATTCTGGGACACTGTTCATTCAAGCTTACATTGTGTACTGGTGGAATAGAGTGAGTGCATGCATGGGTGTTTATGCTATACATATATGTACAGGTTATACATGTAATATTTGTATGTATGTAGATGTATGCTGAAATACCAAAGCTGTAGATCTTGAGACCAAAGCCCATGATGCTCTTCTTCCGAAGGCCGACTCCATTGAGGTCGAGTGGCGTCCCATGTCCATCAACACCGAGTTTGATTGGGAATGAAACCCCCGTCTTTGGCTCAATATTAGCACCCTCATTGCCCTTCCCCTCAACTGAGCTTGCCATTTTTTTCTTTTTCTCTCTCTCTAGGCTGAGTCCTCTCTCCCTCCCCCTCTCTCTTCTGTCTTAATAGGCCTGGATCCACACATGGGCTCAAAGTTAAAATAGCATGGCTGAATAGATGAGGTGGTTGGGCCTGGATCCACACATGGGCTCAAACTTAAAATAAAGTGGTTGAATAAGATGAGGTTGTTGGGTGGGGCCCATAGAATTAAATTGTGGGCCTTCTCTGAGGAATAGGGCTGCAGCCCTATTAAAAATAAGTAAAGTTAAACCTGATCATTATTCATTGAAAATTATAATTCAAGTATTGAAAAACCTTTATATCCTTCAACTCAGCTTGAACATATTAGTTGTGGAAAAAAAAAAAAAAAGGGGGATGTTAAACTCTAAGCATTATGTATAATGTAACAAGTTATCTTGATCGATCATTTCATCTTAAGAATAAGTGTTTGTAGATTCGTCAAATCTGTACCATTTTTTGAGTTTTCGATGCCAAAAGTACTTTTTTAAATAAAAATTGGGGGGAGGGGGTTGACCATAAAGCCGAGGCTTTATAGAAACTTCATCTTTGATTATTGGTCCGTGTGGACGCCTCCATGTACTTACTTGCTTTTAATCTCCACCGACCTTGTTATCTCCTGCCGTTTAGATGGATTTGAGAGTAATGAACCCAATCTTTAAGTCACAGTACCTAAAAAACAAGTGAGGTGGTTAGATCTTTACTCTTAAAGTGGTTGTTTCATAATCCTTGGACTTGGTTTCTGAAGTTGAAAGTTACCTCCTCCACTGTATTGTTCACAGAATTTCAAATTGCTCTTGTACCTAGCAGTAGGCATTTCCTTGAAATTTTTAGTTCATCAATCATAAACATAACCCCAATTTGTTCCAAAGCCGGAATGATCCATATTATCCAACTATGTCTATACTAAAGTCTAGGTGTTCCTCATAACTTTAATGGTAAGACGACAAAGTATTCGGTATAATTAAAAACTAAATGAGTGATTTACGTCTTGACTCTAAATTTTTATTTAAAATATGAAATGCTCTGTTTATAGGCAGAAATTACAAAGAAAGTTGGTCAACCAATCATTTTTTATTTTTTTTTTTAAAATTGCCCTTTGGTCTAATTATGAAGTCCTCTTTTTGAAATTTTTTTTTTTTAGTAGGGCAGTCCCCCAAGCTTTAGGGCAATGCCCTACTAACAAAAAAAAAAAATTCACGCTTCCTCCTATGTTTTTTCCACATTCTCTCTCGTCATCTTCTCTCCTCTCTCCATTTATCCTTTTCTTTTTCAATATAGCTATTAAGTTTATCTTAAATAGATATAACTCTCTTTCTATTTAGTCTTTCACTATATCTTCCTCTCACATTTCCTTTTTACTAAATATATGATTTAATTATAAGAAAAAGATAAAATATATATGTTTATTAATATAAGTAAAAATCAAAAGTTATCTGAAATTATAAATATTATGGGCAATAGCTTTATAGGGATAAAAAATAAAAAATAATCTAAAAATGTAAATGTTATAGGCAATAACATCTCTATCCATTTATTTTTTTAACTCTCTTTCTCTTCGTTTAAATTATCATCCTCGTTTCCAATAAAGCTATTAAGTTTCTCTTTAATAGATATAACCATATCTCTTTGTTAATTTATTCTTCGTCTCTAGCTCCCTCCCACATTTTTCTTTACTGAATATATTATTTTTTACAAGAAAATGTAAGTAGAGATAAAAAATTATCCAAAAATGTAAATGACATAAATACTAATATAATTAAGCTATAGTTTACTAGCAAGAAATAATTAATTCTTAGTTTGAAATTATAGTATTTAGTTTACTATTTTGTCTCTCTGTACTACTGTAAACAGGTTACGCTCATACAAAAAAATTATACTTTTGTAGGTAATGATTTTAAAACTATGTTTATGCTATTTGTGTAATAATATATGTTTGATAAGAGAATATACAAATTTAATAATGATTGAAAATATTCAATACTAATTATATTACTACCATAAATATAATTATTAGTATGCCAAATTATTATGGTTTTTAATGATGCTCCAACCAAATTTCTTTTATTTTTTTTCCCCCTTAAATTCACAGATTTTCTTATTACAAAATTTACTAGTAGGATTTGTTTAATAGGAAAAATAATACCAAAAATTGAATTATTTACAAATAAATTTTTTCTATTAATTCCTCTATTAGATGAGAATTATATGTAACATCCAAGAGATATAAATATCGTTATAATGTAATTTTGAAGTAGGTATATTTTGTGATCGAAATACAAATTGTTAATAAAAAAATATAAAAGAAATATCTTTATTTTTTTTGCATTATGGTCAATTATCTTTTTTAAATAATACTTACATATAAGTGAATAAAATATTACCAAATATGAATAAAACTAATTTTAAATGAATATCATATAAGTAAATAGACGATACAAGTTACATTGCAAATATGTAGTAATTAAAAGTATAATATTATTATAATTCTCTCTCTCTCTCTCTCTCAACGTGGTCTTATATGTACGCAACTCTCTCTTACTCTTTCTCCCCCTCTCTCTCTCTCATGCACAACCTTAACAATCTAAGGGTGTTAATCTGGCTCTAGAACAAATCAATTATAAAAATAATGACAACCATAAATAATAAGGAAAAGTATATAATGAGACTATTTATCTTTTGTACAAAGTGATCACAATTAATCTAGACCATTGGATGTGAACTTAAGTGGTTGCATGTATTTCATTAACTAAGCTCAAAGTTCAAAAGAAGTTTTTTCGAATTTTGTGACACATGCAATCTATCAGATTTCATATCCGGTGCTTGTAAGTAGTTTTAACCTCCCTGTAACAAAAGTAAATGATCTTATTGTATACAATCTCAAATAATAATGCATTGTTTTTCAAATTTTGATTCATTTGATAGTAATTAATTAATTTTCAATTTTAGTTGTAATAATAGACTGCAAGCTTCATGCTTACCAAAATTAGTTTTTATTGCCTAACACTATTTTTTCGCGTGGTCGTTTTTGTATATTGGTAAATCACCCAAGTTTTTTTTGAAAAAAAAAAAAGGCGGTGATGTCATTTGTACAGTGCTTTAATTTATATAGGCAGCTAAAAGTGAATCTCTTAAATTATTATTTTTTATTTCCTTATTATCTTTCAAGTTAATCAATAAATTTTCCCCATTGCTTCACCAATAATTTTGGCTTACTTGGATGGCTTTTGACAACATGTTATAATTGAAGCCTTTGAAGGTGACTCATGGAAATGTGATGGATGCTAAGAAGTTGTCCACAGATCCTCACTTTTTTTGTGTGGTCGTCATTTTCGGTAGATTACTCATACTTAAAAAATAAAATCGAATATCTAATCTAAACCACCAACGAGGTGTGCTGCCTTTCGAACCCTGATTGATGCCTACTCCAATTTACTGTTTTTAATGAATCTCCTTTAGTTATTTTGGAACCTGGATGAAAAGAAATTCTATAATTAATTAATTTCTAAAAAATGAATTTCTCTATTCGATTATTTCAATAATTATTTCTATTCTAAATTAGATTAAAGAATTTCTTGATATTTTATTCATATAAAATGAAATTTAAATTCACATATTAATATTATAAAAATAAAAATATTTTTTTATTCTTTTAAAATAAAAAATCTATTATAAAATAAAGCTTAAAATTAAATTTATTTATATTATTGTTATAAAATAAAAATTACTTTAAAAGGAAAAATATCTAATTCTAATTAGAGAGTAGTATAATAATAGTATTAGGTTATAGGTGTAAATTAGATTTGAAATATTCGATATCATATTAAGAAATACAATACATTGAGCATAAGTAAGGTAAAATGCATCAATGATAGAATCATTTCAGATTGAATCAAATAATGCTTTGATAGAAATGCTAAGAAGAGGGATAAAAATAAGAAGAAAAAAATAGGGGTAAACTGTTTACTGATAGGACAATATCTAATGAACGTGTCCAAGAGGAATGAAAGAGGTGAAATAGAATCACAATGGGATCTCGGTCTCACTCAAAAGGTGATATGGCGAAAATTGGTAGACTATATGAACTGAGTTGAATTGAGCCTTGGTATGGAAGTGTACTAAATGGTAGCTTCCAAATTCAGACAAACCCTGGAATGAAAAATGGGCAATCTGAGCCAAATCATATTTCCTAGAAAGTGGAAACTAAATTAAATGATAGATGCAAAGAGTCAACGAAGTTGTTCCAACAAATGGAGTTGACCTCGTTGGGTAGAGGAATCAATCCATATATAAGACCCCAAAAGGGATGAACCTATGTATTGGTATTCAATTGAAATATCATAGGACTCCAAAAGGGATGAACCTATGTATTGGTATTCAATTGAAATATTCAACGATTAATTACAATCCGGATCCTAATGTGATACGTTTCAAAATTCTTGTGAATCGATCCCAAGTTGAAGGAAGAAATATTCATTGATCCAATCATTCACTCCAGAGTTTGATAGACCATTTGAAGAAATGATTTATCAGACAAGAATAGAATAAAGATAGAATCGCATTCTACATGTCAATCCCGGTAAAAATGCAATTTGTAGTATGAGGAAAATCTATCAACTTTACAAATCATGAGGGTTCAAGTCGCTCCACCCTCAATCAAAGATAGAACCGGTTTTCTCCCTAATCATTCACCTCAAAAACAATGAAAATTGAGGAAGGAATAGATGTAGAAATAGTAAGAACTTTCAAAATGAAGGGGACTGAACAGGAAAAAGACCTGTTTTTTTTTTTTCGTGGAGAAAAAAACTATATAAAGCAAGAAGATCTTGTATCCATTAGCGAAGGCTTTAAACCAAGATTTCTAGATGGATTTGGTGGGGTATTAGTATATCTAACACATATGAAAGTTTGTCCTCTAGAAACGGAAGTACTTAAATGGATAGATTGGAAATTATGAGATTCGAATGTTTGTTCTTGGAAGATACTTATCACATCAAGAATAGAATTTCCACAATTCCTGCAAAACCCTCTTATACACCTTGAAAATAAAAATTCATGCTATGCCCTAGAGGAAATTGAAATTTCTATATTTTGTGGATGAGAAATCGATCCATTCATTAGATCTTCAAACCCGCAGCTTCTGTCTTGACAAGGTGGTGTTCTGACCAATTGAACTAGAAAATGAGGTCTACAACCTGCATATTCTTCTTATGTTTATTTTATTTTTATTTCTATTTCGTTTGAACCATTTTATTATTTTATTTAATATATAATAATATAATTTTATATTCGACTCAAATAAAAATAGCTATGTATAAACTCCTTAATTCAAGAACAATTACCAATTACAAGAATCTTGTTTTAATCGAGAAGATGGAAATTCCTTTCATTTGGTTTGATCTGAATCATTTTTATTGACATTTTACATGGTCCCGCGATCAATCATGAATGATTTGCCAGACTATGAATATGGATAATATCCAAATATCAAATTTGTCTACTATAGAAACGGGTTTTTGGAAAAAACAAGAAAAAAATCTCGTTCCTCCATAAGAAATTCTTCCTTGCCTCCTCTATTGTGTGACATGAAAGTTGTATCTATGCTAAATAGGCTTTTATTATTATTATTACCGTGATTCTATTTCATTAACCTTTCAATCCATTGACAATAATGACTACTTAACAAAAGCCAAATAAAGCAAAGAGCTATATTAATATTTACTGATACAAAATTGATTTAAAATACCTTGTCTTACCAACATATATCAACTTCCTCATTTTTCTCCCTATAAACATGAACAAACATGAACAAAGGTGATGGGTTACACTAAATCGTATCAGTTGCATTGAAGGGGCTGAGGATTCCACAATATCTTCCATTAATTAATGATAGATGGAGAGAGCAACTATGTGCCTATCCAATTAAATTCTTATTTAGAAAGATTATATACTCATGCGAAAGCAAAATGAACATCAGCACCCTAAACTCTAATACCATTATCACCGTCATAGCTTTTTTTTAATTTTTAAGAGTTGGTTACACGAATCTTGATCTATCATTCTGTTCTATTAAAGATCATACCCTCACTGAGGCCATAAATTGTCATATATTTTCTCACTACTTCCAACCAATTCTTTTTTAGCTTACCCCTTGCTATTTTTTAGCCTCACCTCCTAACAAGTGTTGCATTGCACTATACATAACCAATCCAACTAAGTCTACTTGCTCTCATCTAATCACCGATGGGAACCACATCTAAGTTATCTAAAATGTGTTCAATTCGAATTCTATCCCTTTTTATTTTGCCATTTATCCATCTCAACATCATCATCTCAACTACATTCATACTATCGATATGTTATTTCTTGACCACAACAACACGTGCATAGGACCGATTTCTCCATAATTAATCCATAAAAATGGCAGTTATAGCAAAAATAGGGGCAGATAAAATGCTAACAGCCCCCACTGTGACCTCATCTAAAGGTCCGAGTCTGGTCCTGAAAGTCGGACCCATGGGCCATGACTTGACCTGAGTCACGTTCAGATCCATCTCAGACTTTCCGGTGGGATCAGGTCGGGGTCCAATGACCTAGACCTGACCCGGGGCTTAGAAAGTCCAGATAAAACTAAGAGCAAGTCGATTCAGATCCGGGTTGATCCGTCCCATTTGATGCAGCTCCCGCTTTTCATGTAGTTCAAAAAAATACATAGAAAACACATCGTGAGTTAGAATAGTTGAAAATGGATAATGTGTTATAAGTTGATCTTTTAGGTGTATTTTATAAATTTCTCTTAAAATAATGTGAAGAAACAGTAATAATACCATTATTCTTAAAATAATAGAAATAACTGCCACTATTTTAAAGAAAAAGTACCCTACTTTTGTAAAAATAAAATAAAATGCTAATTATTTGCTTTTTATGTTCTCTCTTTTTTGTTTTCATGCTTTTTCCTTTTTACCATCTTTTTACTTTTGTTTTTTTGGTTAAACACGGTTCTTTTCTTTTCAATGCTTAGTACCATTATAAAATATAAACGAACCATTCAGAGTCATTTTCATTATCAGTGTTTTACAAACTTGCTTAGAATGATAGAATATCATCCCCAGTTTTGAATTAACAAAACTATTCATATCCTCTTACCTCTCGGTTAAATTCCTAATAGAAAGGACTCTACCAGAATTTCACATATAATTTTTCTTATCCTCTAAAAATTCTAAAAAAAAAAATTTTCGATTCCTGTAATTCAATAGTAAATTCCCAATAGAAGAGATCTAAAGCACTTACCATTGGAACTAAGGCCAAAAAAAAGAAAAAAGCAACTTCAAGCACTGTTAGTGCAAAAGCCAAAACATTATTGATCAGTTATAATCACAATTAAAGTGTAGAAAACAAGAATAATCACATATACACGTAGATCAAGCTCACTGTCCAAAGCATGCTCCAAGCACACAGCAAACACAATCTGCGGCGCATTTTCCGCGTGTTCAGATGAAGAAAGCACACGCCCCAACGATTCTTTGTGCATCACTAACTACCTCATCATCTTTTTTTTCAGTGCCTTTGGCCTCCAAGAAAAATTGGAGAGTTCCAAAAAATGCAAGAGTAAAATGACAGCCTATCTAAAGCTGACATGTAATACGTAAACTACATTATTTAGAGGTGAATATGTTTATCATCCAACATAAATCACATCAGGAAGGCACCAAGATAATAAGCTTTTTTTTCTGATATATGCAAAGGTGGAGCACTAGAGCTTTAGTGCTTCCAAAAGGGTGCGAGATGGGACCAGGTCCATCCCATTCTCCTATCGGTTGACCTTGCCTTCAGACCTAGGCCTCAAGGTCCCCACCACAGAACTGCAACTGACCTGACTGGCACTTATAGCTATCACCCACAACCAAGAAAATGAGTGCTTTCATTTCAACATTCCCAAGTGGGTATTCTCAAGTCCCTAATATCCCACCAAATGTGGGAGAATACCTAGCATGTTTGGCACAAACGTCATTGGAGAATCTTCATTTGAATTCACAACCCAACAAGTGTCCAACTCACCCAGACTAGTAGTCATTTGCGCACGCATACGCTCATGGATGATAAATGCGATGAAGAGTAACCCAATGAGAATTCTAGATATTCATAAATATGGAGCATTTCTCTATGAAACTTGGAAAAGAGAGGTTGTCGTTCAATTGATAAAGTAGCCTTGGGAAAATTTTGTTATCACAGAGAAAGGTTAAGATCCAAAATTCAGAAAAAATGACCAAGTTGAAGAAAAACTCACCAAAGTTTTGGATTTGGAAGAAATGGGACGCTCAATATCAAGCCATGTGAACAAGTTTAGGCTAAACTTGATTCTAAATTTTGTCCGAAATTGGTGAAAGTTCAGTGTGAAACAAGCAATTACAGTAAGATAATTTACTGGCCATTGTTGTTTTCATCTTGGATAACCACACAGTTTTAGGCTGATTGCTCGCCAACTGAAGGCAGTATTTTTCTGATCCTGGAAAAAGGAAGCATTTTTTCCATTCTTTCAAAATTAAAGGAGTCATTCAAAAAGAAGTATCACTAAATTCGTAATTGAGCAATATCATGGGTGTCCTCCCCAATTCAAAGTCTCTGTCGAAATCATGTTTTTTGTACCAATCTATCAAAGCTTCCTGGACCCCCACCATCTTCTGCAAGAACTTTGTCATCGTGACCTTAACCAAGTGGAGTAAAGATATGGCTCTTGTAGATGCCCAAACCGAACGAGACAGAAAGGAAACAACAAATTTGACCTTGAGAAGATTCCTTTTAGATACATGAAAAGTTGAGTGAGTATGACTCTTTAAAGATTTTTCTAAAATAATCAATTACTGCAGGTTATTCACATGGCACTCAGTGCAAGAGAGCCAACAAACTTGTTTTATGTACTACACAAAAATTGAGAATAGCCTCATAGCATAGCAATATTGGTATGGTGATTAATATTATTTAGTACTATAAATTAAGCTTGCAAGTCTTCATCCATAGCTAGCATGGATACAAATTCTCCTTTCAGTGTGCATCGTACCTTTGCATAACTTTTGGCAGCTCAACAATATATAAGCATTACCACCCACCAAATTCAGAGACATTACATGTCATATGTGAAATAGTTTCAAGTAAAATATTGCACCTGAGAGTCAGCTCTTGTAAGAAAGAAGGATGTCAAGTGCAAGCTTGCAGATTATACTCAAAGTGTTAATGTTAACAATATCTGTTTCTTGGGCATGCTTGTGGCTACTCCGCCCTACTGAACTGTGGAAACGATCATGGCGCGAAGCAGAACAAAGAACCACCAATTCACTCTATGGAATTTCAGGTGAAGCCACATATTCATCAAATCTATGCCATTTAGTACATCAATTGTTTATTTTTTCCTCTTCAATGAAGGAGTGCTCCGCTTTTGCAGGTCTTGACATTTTAGCGTTCTCCACCCCAATGATCGTAGTGGCCATAATTGGTTTTATATATTTACAACTGGGAGTAAGCAAATCAAAATCCCGGTAGGGAGTTTTTCTCCTTTTCCCAATAAATGGGCGTCTATTATTAGATTGATCCCCAAGAGATTAGATGTTGGATTCGCTTGTATTTTCAGATGTACTTGGTGCTTAAAAAGGAACTGCAGTAGGCATGTCAAACAGTTCTTACATTGCTGATTGATCCATGGGAAATTTATATATTTGTGTTATATAGAAGCATTGTACCTTTTTATTTGATTTTATTTTATGATGTTAACCTTTAATTATGAAAAGACAAGTACAAGAGACCTAGGCAATCCACAGGGGTAGATGCTCTAGGAGAGAAAATAAAACAAAAGGGCAGATATATAAGTATTGTATATTCAGATGGAGATATGTACATATGAGGGAATTTCTACAGTACCTCGCTCATTGCCCATCACCAACCAAATTCCATCGCATGGCCATAATCATCTGATATGGTATTTTAATTTTAATATTTTTTTCTACAAATCCTACTCACCTCAAATTTTGAGGGTGTGTGCACCCAAAAATTATGAAAATTAATTCAAATAATAAACTGACACAAAAAATCCTTAGTAATATTTCAAGGGTTTTTTGGTCACTTTTGTCTTTGGTTTTTTTTTCTTTTCTTTTCTTTTTGGTAACGATTAGAAGTACACACTTGCCAAATTTAAGGTGAATCTGATTCATATAAAAATATATATAATCATTCAAACACTATTAGATGACCATGTCTAATGAAATTCGGATAGTGATGCCAGTGAGCAAAGCACGATACCTTTCGCTCATTGGCACTTCTACGTGTTTTCCATGCGTGTGTGTGTGGATTATTCTTGATTACACCACTCTAGTGTTGTGAATTAGAATATTCTTTTATGTTCAAAAAAGACTTTTGACAATAAATTGTTGATGTATTTTAAGAATGATATTTTTGTCATTTTAAAATTCCTTCAAAAATCAATTCCAAATTTAAAGAAATTATTTTGACTTTTTGAATCATGTTAAAATTTAGAAGGCAATTCCAAATTATAAATATGCCCTTTCTAAAAGTTTCAAACAGCTTATTGCTAAAGTAATTACAGCTTTATAAAAGTATATTATAGTAAAAAATTGTTGCGTAGAAAATTCTGAGTTCACCACTTTTGAGAGCCCATAATTGTAATTTTAGATGTATTATAAGATCCAATCATCATTCAAAAAGTCAAAAGAATCTTTTTAAATTTGAAATTGAGTTTTAGAGGGAGCACATATCCTAAAACTCAATTGTGTGTGTATGTGTGTGTGGGGTGGGGGGGGGGGGTTATTTATTTATTGAAGGATATGAGTGTGTGACTCTACATAAGAATAAGTAGGAGCCAGACTTTCAAAATTATTTCTTGCAACATTTATCATTAATTCGTAAAGCCTTTGTCCTAAAAGATCACTCTCATATGTTATCTAAATCCAGCGATTAACTCAATCGAAAATATTTAAATCAATAATTAAAATCTATTCTTCGTCTAGTTATGAGCTGGAGCATTGTGCATTGCATGTGCCATTGACTAATATGTGTGTGTAGATATAACTGGTGCTAGGTTTTTCTTCCTACCAGAGCAATGGGAATAGCCTTCAATTGATTGGGGCTTCATATTCAAGTCTTGCATCTTGACGAACTTTCACTTGCAGATGTAGAAGGACTTTGAATAGAAACTTATCAAATCCAATCATAATTCGGAGCCCCATGGGCATCGTATCCATGAAAGAGGTTCTGACAACTAGTGTGTTCATCATCTTCCTAGGATGGACCTTTTACTCCAACACGTACAATGGTTTCAAAAAGATGAAACACTCAGAATCAGAAAATTGGCAACCGTGGGTACTCAAAACTTTTCTACTCTCAAAGTTCTCTAGTTTTCTGGATTTAACTATCATCAGTAAGTATATTCACACTTCTAAAGCTTGACAACTATGTATATGTACTAGCTGGTATTTCAAGACAATGAAGATAGGAGTCAAGTTTGGATTCGTAGCAGAAGCATGCCTTGCCTTGCTTCTCTTTCCTATTTTGAGGGTGTTGGCCTTACCTCAGCTACTTGGGCTCCAGTATGAAGTTTCAGTCAGATATCACATATGGTTGGGAAACACGATGATGCTATTTTCAGTGTTACATGGTTTTACCATCATGTTTGCATGGGGAATCAAGCACAGCCTTCAAGAAGAGGTATACAAGAGGAGCTTTTTTTGTTGTGTAAAATGCCACGACATAGAATTATTCTGCATTGTATTAACTGAATTTCTAACTCCAGTAACCATTTGCTTCTTTAAGTGTACCTAAAACCTTAATTTGTAGGGCACACATAATGAGTTACCCTCTCATTCCATGGATCCATTGCTTATGTGATCTTCTTATGCAAATGATTTCTAGCTATCTACGATATAAAAATAAGCAGACAAAGATTATGGACTAAGGGAACAATAAAAACAATATGTAGTTGCACACTGGATAAAACAGGGAGAAATCACATATAGTTCAGTCTCAAGGTTAGTGACCTTGAAAATATGTAATATATTTTCAAACCCATGATCAGTCAATAGAAATACCTTAAAAATGGAATAATACCTAAGGCTAAATTGGAAAAGTGAGCACAAGAATCCAATTCTTAACCTAGTAGCAATTAAAATATGCTGACGCAATGTCAAAACAATGTGTACATTTTCATCTGATTGTAGGATCTTAATCTAAATGTATGGCTCATTGCTCAAATTCTTACTATGCATTATGGGAATGTACATGACACTGAAATGTTATTGTTCTTTGATCTACAGCTACTCAAGTGGCAGAAAACCGGGTCCGTTAACCTGGCAGGAGAATTTGCCCTGATGGCTGGGCTTATCATTTGGATTACATCAATTTATTATATAAGAAGGAAGTGGTTTGAGTTATTTTACTGGACCCACCATTTATATGGAGTATTCATAGTCTTTTTCTTATTCCATGTTGGAGATCGGCATTTCTACACAGTTATTTCAGGGGTTCTTCTTTTCACCCTAGACAAGATTCTAAGAATAGTTCAATCAAAGGCAACCACTAGTCTTATTTGTGCCCGCATATTGCCATGCCAAGCAATTGAGCTAATTCTCTCAAAGCATCCCAGTAAGTCTCAATAGAACTTTCATAGACACTTCCCTCAACAATTAAAATTGGTATCTTGCTCATTTCCTAGTCTTATGGCAGGTATGAAATACACTGCAACAAGCACGATATTTGTAAAGATACCAACCATATCGAAGTTTCAGTGGCATCCATTTAGTATCGCATCCAGCTCAAGTACAGATACTGATAGAATCTCAATTATAGCCAAGTGCCAAGGGGAATGGACAAAGTCACTATACAATACCATACATGATGCATTGGATTCAAGTGGCAATCAAATTAAGTCCCTCCCAGTTGCAATAGAAGGACCCTATGGAGCCATCTCAGAGTCCTACCTAAGGCATGCGTGTTTAATTTATTTATTCATGCATCGATTTATGTATTTTATTGGGTAGTTCAACGGTGGTCATGATAGTTAAAGGTAGTAATATAATATAATTTTGATGCTGCAGATATGAAAGCTTACTTTTGGTTGCTGGAGGGAGTGGTATAACTCCATTTCTGAGCATTTTGCAGGAGGTTGCTACTAGAAATAGAAACAAAAAGTTTAGTCAAAGAATTCAATTGATATACATTGTGAAAAAGTCAAAAGACCTCACAATAATGAATACAATTTCAACAGTGCTCCTAAATCGCACTGCTCAGCAAGAAGGGTGGCTGAAATTGCAAGTTTTTGTGACTCAAGAACAAAGGCCAAGAACCACACTAGGAGAACTGCTATACAGACAATCTCATATAAAATCAGTATGCTTTGATGCAAGTTACTCAAAGAATTATATTTCAGAACCTGAGAGTCTACCATGGAGAGCTACACTAATAGCATTTCATTTCATAATATTCCTTGCATCGCTTGGGTGCCTAAACCATGCATTTCTTCATCCCCCTTACAAGGCAAATCCTTCTTGGGTTAGGGCTCTATGCAGAAAAGGTGCTCTCATAACAGCCATGATATGCAGTGCTTCAGCTGCAGCTTTACTGAGATGGCAAAAGATGAGGAATGAAACACGGACAACCTCTAAGATTCATGGCACAAATACTGAACTCCAATTGTTGGAAGAACAAACCCCATTTTGTGATAATCACACTATACATTATAGACAGAGGCCAGATTTTCATGGTAATTTCCACTATTTTCCTACTTTACCATTCTATTACTTGTCATTTCTACTGCCTGCTAATTATCTCTGGGTCAGATAATATTTCAGCTACTTGATACGTTAAATAAACATAGTTTTAGACTGCTAGCTACTTTAATTGTTTTATTGGCAGATATATTTTCAAGCTATGAAAAACAAGAAGGTGAATCCAGTGTAAGGGTACTTGTTTGCGGGCCAGAATCAATGCAGAAGTCTGTGGCATCTGTTTGCAGACAATACGCTTTTGGACCTAAAAAGGATGAAAAAAGGAGGCCCTCATTCATCTTTCAATCACTTAACTTTTCTCTCTAGTGTTTAACCCCCCTGAGGTGATCCAAGAAGTTTATAGCAGAACACATGACCTCAGAAAGATCAAGAAAGCCATACACAAGTTTGTGAAGCATTGCGAGTATCCTTACAGAAGGAACTTGAAGAAATAAATGCTAGTTAGATTAGGCATATGAGACAATAAGTGTTAAAATTGACTTGCCCGTCGTATTAGCCTAATTCTGTTTTAACAGCCTGATAAAATAAGTGTTAAAATTGGCATCGCCTTCATATTAGCATAATTCTTCTTCAACAGCCTAACCGCCTTGTGCTGCACCATTTCTTGGTGCACGTTACGTTTTATAAAAGTGAATATTTATATATATATATTACTTTAATTGAGAGATGGTTGAGTTGGAAAATGGATTATCAATGCAGTGGAACTGAATATACAAGTAATGTCCTTCAACTCAGTGAAGCTGCACAATTAGCATACTCTTAGATTTGTGTGGACCCACAAAAGCCACCCAATACCCAATCATCCAGTTTGACATTCAACCTATATACAAGGATATCAAGAGTTTTATGTGGACCTAACATGGACAGCTATCTCAATAAGTCAACCCAGATGCCCGATTTGGGATGTATGTAATCTATTTAAAAGTTTAAAACTGGTAAATTGCACCAATAGAACAAGTAAGGTGAACTCAAGCACTGACTCGCCAGGGGCCGAGCTCGAGTCCCCCTGGTCCAACTCAGACCCGGCCAATTTTTAAAAAGAAACTTTGAAAAAATTGGGAAACTCAGTTAAAATAATGGTTTTTCGACCAGGAATTGCCTGGCTCTGGATCCAAGCTGACCTAGGTGATTCCAAGTCGGCTCAGCGATTTTTAAATCATTGAATAGAACAATTAGGTAGGCTAGTATTATTAATATGGGACACGCGCACAACACACCCTCAAACAAATTCATATACATAGAAACATGCACATATACATGGAAAAGTAACATTAATATCTAGATGATCCAGCATGGCAAATTAGAAAAAGTAGTCTCAATAGAGAGAAGCTTCAGCTGAGAGTTTCAAAACTCTGAAAGAGTTCCCACATGATATTTCATACAATGAAATGTCGAGATCGTTATATAAAAAAAAATTGTGCTGCACATGTGAGACTCCATCCAGGAGTATTACCCAGAATATTTAAAGTTTTTAGTTTCTTGTAAATAGTGAATGAATCAAATTGGTTCTGAATCCTCTCTTTGAGTTTGAACGGAGAAAATTGGCAACATTTACTAGGCAAAAAAAGGGCAAAAAATGTGCATGTTAGCCACACTTGATTGGAGAAGCATGAATTGCACAATATGAGTCTCTGTAACTATCTCGAAAAAGCACTCTTGTGCTAGTAACAGATATGGATATCTCAAAAATTGATAAATTTCTCTCAGATAACCCCATTCATATATAAGCCTAGTACAAATCCTGAGACAATTTTGACAGAAACCTGTAACTCGTAAAACGGATGAATTTCAGATCAAACACCAAAAGTGGTATCTTAGCTTAGGATGATGCCGAAGAAATTTTCAAAAAAAAGGTAACCTCAAAATGGATGAACAATCTCTCAGACACCCAATATCATAGGTTAGCTTTCTAGCTTAGCATAAAAAGGTAAGACAACTGAGATAAAATTGTGAACTCAACTCAAAACATTCTGAGATACTTCCATTTACCTAATCCCAACTATGTTCTTCCTGCAGTTTCTTCCTACATTCTCGAGGGGTTTATAGACAAATGAATCTCAGTAACTTGGCCCTAAAAATGAAAATATCAGAATTTCCAAAATGGAACTGAAAGTACTTTAATTCCAATTGTTAACCATGCCAAGTTTGATCGGAAAAACTTGCAGGTTACTAATATTCACTGTGAGAAAAAACATATAAATAAATTATTTATTTTAATGCAAGATTATCACAATCACTCATCTTTTGGATAGTAGTCCAAAAAAATCTTGAACCGGACTCGCCCATGTGCCACATTATCCAAAAAACCTCTCGAACCGGACTCGCCCCTGCGCCACCGAGGTCGCCCATGTGCCACAGGGCCTCACCCATGTGCCACATAGGTGGCACGCACATGTAGGTGTGATGCCCTAGTGTTTTCACACGTGTGTTTATTTTCTAATTACGTAATTATTTATATAGCATATTTGAATACTCATCTTTCGATGTGGGATAATTCTCAACATTATTAAATGAAAACAGAATGTAAATATATGCTATTAATAGACAATTTTAAATACATATGCTAAGGAGGCATGATGGTTATCACTAATATTTTTTGCTTTTACTTCTCAAGTTCGAATCCCCTTTTAGGGTATATAATAGTATATCCCTTCATGAGCTAACTTTTGTTCCCCCTTGGGCATATAATAAATTAAAATGTTATTTTCAAAATTTGTACGTATTTTATTAATTTTTACATTGATAACCAAATCTCTTATTTTATTTATTAATTTTTACATTATAAATCATGTGATGTACTATTTTTCTTACAGTTGTCAATAATACATTTTAAATTAGATAATATTATAAAATATTTTTAATTTGTTATTATTTATCTAATAAAATAGTTATAAAATGTAAACTAATAATTATAATTTCAGTATATAATATTATAATTAGTTCGGTTGTAATAATTTTGGATTATAGTTAGTTAGGCTGTAATAATTTGGGTTTTCTTAGCGGATTAAGATTTTTTGCCAAAACGAGATTTTAATGGCCATTCTTTCATTGATTTAATCTACTCTTTATTATAGTCTATGTATAATTATATATTTTATCCATGATAATTCTATGATTTTTCTTTTATGTGATACAAATTTAATACTTAAGTTTATACAGGGAATGAGCATCTCAATATTAACAAATTGATGAAAATAATGAAAGTTAATAATGTAGTACCCTCATTTCTTATTGGATTCCTAAAAAACAACATTTATAATGAATTTTAATAATTTTTTCAGATTTTTTTGAAGTTTTAATCCGATCGTTTCAGCAAATTCTCGATCCGGATCGCCGATTCACCGATCTGGATCGGTTTTTGAGGTGCCCGATCCGGGTCACTAATCCAGTTTTTAAACCATTGCTCTAAAACATCAGAGCCTACCTCACAAACTTCACTAGAGGTTGTTTTGATGCCTAAATATCTTCAAATTGATCATCTCGACATCTAAGTGTTGGAAATAGTGCAATGCCGTTTTAGACCATCAATTTTTAAGGTTTTAAAATTTTATAGATCTACTCGATCTACTTTAAATTTTATAATTATAAACTTTAAATTTTATAATTACAGATGAAAAGATATTTTAAAGCTGTCACAAATATTTCCAGTATTAAAACTATATCTCTAGACACTATTTGAAAGTGGGCTCTAATTTGATTGGTTAGAGTCTCGGCTCTATACGAACTGCACCATTTCCACCATCCATTTTCAAGAGACCGAGGTTTGTATAAGGTGTCAACCTTATACTATGTATAAGGTGTACCTCGAAACTAAGTCAAAGATGTAGTTTTGGTGCCGCAAAGCCTTGAGATATATGAAATATCTATTGTTATCCCAATTATGAAATTTAAAGTTTTGGAAATGGTTACGATCTAGCGGATCTATAAACAATTGAAAATCTTGAAAATGGACGGTCTACATGACAGGTTAGAAGTTGAACTATTTGTAGTGCTAGAAATCCTATTTTTTTCATGTCTATGAATCTTTAGGTCAAGATGATCGATTTGACGGTTTTCTATCATAGAAATAAACTTTTCTAGTGGATTTTTTAAGTGTATATTACCAGTGTAGTGTAAGGTTGACACCTTATATGATTTTTTTCTTTTATCTATCTTTATATATTAAGCGAGAGAATGACCCTTTTATTTTTGTACATGTCATTCTCTCATTAAAAAAATAAGAAAATATCTCTATAGACTTTATTTTCAACTTTCATTTCTCCATTGACCTAAGGTTTTAAATCATATCGTACTACATAGAAATTCACTCTTTTATATCTCCTGCCCTAAACATATTTTATTCATTTTTTACTAATTTTTTTTACCCAAACAACTTAAAAAAGACATTGTTTTCCAAACCCCTCTCTTTCTTGACATGATTCTCTTTCTCTCTCCAACGATTAACCTCCAAACTTCCTCTCTCTCTATCTTCCCTCTTAAAACCACCACCACCACTACCACCACCATTGAAAGCCCGAGAGAGATTAGAGCTTAACTTGGGCAGTGGAGTATATCGACGGAGGCGCTACAAGAGTGGGGTAGCTTGGCAGATATAGAGGTATTGATCTTGATGCAGAGGTTGGGGTCAGTGGAGTCTTTGATAAAGATGCAGAAGTACTTTGCCACTCTTCTCCACCACCTGCTTCAACCCCCCGAAGCAGTCCTTGGTGGATGTCACCGCCTCCCCCTGCACATACGGCAGGCACGTCGCTAGGCCCATCAGCTGCTCCATGCACTCGTTCCTGTCCTCCCCTAGGTTACCTCCCACTTCCTCTACCCCTCCTAAAACCACCACTACCACTACCTCCCACTTCCCCACCCCCTTTACCTAAAGAGAGAATCCCAACTGAACCATAAGACAAAGCCCTCACCTCAAGAAAATTATCAATCCTCATTCTCTAGCGAAAGCTTCAGGCCAAATCATCTGATAATAAATTCACTCTAAATTTTGGTCCTCTAGGCTTTAACGGTACACAACCAAAAATGCAGAGAGCTGCAAGGACCTTTAGACCAAAGTCTCAGGTTTTACTTTCTAGATCCTTTGTATTTGGCCCCATTTTTCATGATTTTGGAGGAAATTCGAAGTTGGGTGTTCCTATTTCCAGCCATTTTTATTTCTCCCAATCTCGCCATTCTAGCAAAAAAATTGTCATTGATTTTAGCCAATTCCCGCCTGAAAGAATCAAGAACTTCCCGATCATTGCACGTAACGATCATGGGAAAGCGACTACGGCCGATAGGTTTTTGGAGCTCACTGGAACCATCAAGAAAGGGCTTGGCCAACTGCAATACGCCGATAATAAATTCCGGTGACTCCATTGCAAGCCGAGAGTAAGAGCAAGAGAGCAGCTAAAGAGAAGGTGGGTAAGAAGAAGAAGAGAGCGTGAGGAGAGAGAAAAAGAGTTAGACAAAAGGTGCCTTTAATAATTTGTTGAGTAATGATCATTTGAGATCCTCCCACACCCATATGTGTAAGAACCCATAAGATCACCATTAAATTTGGCACATGTCTCTAGAAAAGTTATCACATGAGTG